ACGATAATACTCAATGTTCTTCATTCTGATATCTAGTGGAACCCTTCAATTGAAGGAGACTGGACGTAGCTCAGTTGAGCGAACCAGTATAAAATGATTGCATTACTTTTCTTGTTTAACTAGAAACAAATCATTTTTATTAAGTAAATCTTTGTGAAAGACTTCGTCCAATATTTTCATATCGTTAAAATCATTTTTCAGACGAAGACGCAATTTCGTTTAACAAATATATTACCCTGAAAAGCTTTATCTACTTCTTGTTTTTAAATGAAACTATCTTGAAAAGGAAACTGTCACAACTTTAATAATTATTATTATAAACCATTTTCCTCAGCAGTCGATAAACCTGCCAAACGCAATGACCTTATGATAATCAAATTCTGGCTAATCGTCTGATATTCGAAAGTGCATTGGACGAAGTATATTACTCTTTGAAAATGTTTTTTTTCTTTTAAAAAATTCCTTCGTACATACACACACATATTCAACCCTCTTCTATGTGGTTTTCCGCTAACTTCAAAAAGGCGATAAATTACAAAGATAAAAATTATATTTAAACCCATATTTAATATATAGAAGAGTATTCAATATATAAGAATAATTTATTTTAAATTTAGTCAAATATTATAAAAATTACTATTTCAGTAAAAAGGATAATGTCATTCAATCTAGATCATTAATTCCTTACTTAATTATCGTTTAAACATTAGCTTTAAATATTAGTTAACCATAATATTAATTCAAATATATATATTACCATAATATTGATTCACACAATCATTAATTTAAAATTTTTAATTCAGTCAAATATTAAATCAAATATATGTTACAATAATATTGATTCTGTCCTTATTTATTTATTGTTTCAAATAAATTATTTTAACTTTAGCCAAATATTAAAAAAAATATTTTACGAAATGCGTCATGTCATACAATCTTGATCATTAATTTCATGCATAGTTAATTATTGTTTCAAACAATAACATTAAATATTATTTTATTCATGTTTTAATTTAAGAAATTAAATGACTGAAAGATTAATATTAAATATTAATTTAAAAATTGTAATTCAGTCAAATCTTATTTGATATATTTCCTAAATCTCATAATAAGTGTAATATTTGAAAAAAAAATGTAATTAATATGTTAGTATTTTATTGTAGTATTAGTTGTCTACTTTTTTTTTATATATTTTAAAATATTTTTTAAAAAGCAATTATTGCTTTATATCCACTACTAGAATTTCTTATTACATGCGACTTTTCCTGAGAATTTTTCATAAGAATTTGTAGGAAATGTTGTTCCTACAATTTTTTCTACAAAATTTTATCTATAGGTAATACCTTCGTGGTTAATATGTTCGCAAGAAATTTTCCTGCAAAATTTCTTGCAAAAAAAAAATTTGCAGGAAAGTTTCCTGTAAAAAAAACTCCACTTGCTTGAAAACCAGGAAGAAAAGCAGAAGATCATGGATATGGGGTCAAACAAATGACTACAGCCTATCGTCTTCAGAAAGGCTAATCTGGGGAAAATGCTTGTAAACTACACAATTCCTATGGAGGGTCCCGCTTGGGGTTAACATGGATTGGTGAACCATTTTAATAAAATTGTTAGTTCGACAAGGTCTCAGTTTGAGAATAAGTCGTTCTAACAATCCATCATTTTCCAAAACTTTAAAACGAGTCCGACCATCGTCGCGATTGCCAAGGTCCGTTTCGGCGGGTGGCGACAAGGATTTCCTTCAGCGTCCAGTATGATTGAGACTTCTTCAAGCCAAGAGTATACTGGTTTGTAGTACCCCAGACCATGTGTGGTGGGCTTCTACAAGACATAGTGTCGAGGCCAGTTAATGGGATAGCGTCCACAAAGCACATTAATCGTCCTGTCAATAATGTAAGAGTTTGGCTTTGATCGCAAACCAATATTATTTCTTTTCATAATGTCCTTATTAGTGGTGAGATGGTCAGTTTTGAGCAATTCTGCTTTTCCATCTGGGTTAGTTGTTCCAGGGAAGATGATGGAGTATACGTATGTCCCTGGATCCATTCCTTCTAGTATTAGCGAGGTTGTTTGTTCCTTGAGGGAAAATGATGGAAAGGAAGGAAGCCTTGGAGGCATGATCATGAGATCGTTCTTGATAGCAATCTTCCTTTTTCTCATAACCAAGGTATTTACAAAGGCAACCTATAAGGATATATTAGGTAGGATTCATAACCGTTTGGTTTATCAATCAAATTTTTAATCAAACACAGTTTATAGGAGTTCAATAGGAAGGAAAGATAGAGAAATGTCACTTATGAAAGAGGAATGTATATTGACGAGAGGAAAGGGAGCATTTGCATGCATTTTCATCTGAGTTAAAGTAGTGAGAACTTCAGACGCAGGTTTAGCCACCATTTTTTATGCAAGCTTTATGATCTTTTTCTTTGTGAATTGAGGTGGTGAAGGAGGAGGTAACAAGGCTTTTCTTTTTACAACCTTTCCGATGGGTTGGTTGTCCTCAGCATCAGATGTGGATTCTTCGTCTAATTGAAGAACCATTTTCTGTCTAGTTGTTGGTGCTGCAGCAGCCAGAGGTTCAACCTTCATGGGAGATGTAGATGATTAACGCTTCCATGTTGAACGCATCGCACGCTGCCCTTCTCCAATTTCCTTCTTTATTTCTATTGCTTCGGTGAGATCAGGAATTGTGTAGTTTACAAGCATTTTCCCCAGATTAGCCTTTCTGAAGACGATAGGCTGTAGTCATTTGTTTGACCCCATATCCATGATCTTCTGCTTTTCTTCCTGGTTTTCAAGCAAGTGGAACGTGTGATAGACGTTTTGATCCCAGAGGATTTTGTTCAGAAGCATGGTATGAACTATGAAATTCTTGTGGTCTTTCAAACACCCTTTCCAATGCTGAAATTGTGTTTCAGGCAGGTCAAAGGAAGTTCCTGTCATCATATGGAATAAACAGAATTTGTACATATTTGATATGTTGTCTTTGCCACCTATCTTGTGGAGGATTGATTTGTTCAGAATTTGTTGATAAATCTTGGCCTTGTCATCAAGCTTTTTGTAAACTATTGTCCCTTTTTCACCCTTTTTGTGAAGAGTCTTGGTGACTTTTGTCAGCCCACCAGCATCGAAAATCCATTCTTCCCAGTAGGTCTTTCCAGCATTCTCGCATTCAATGGCTTGAGCAATGGTGGAGGGACAGACCTTGACCTCTACTCCGAGCACCTTTCCTTCAAAGGATCCTTGATGGATCCTTAGGGATTCGTAAAACATCTTTATCAGACTAGGGTAGACTACTTCCTTAATGTTAAAATACCCAAGGATTCCATAGTTAGGGGCAGAGGATTTTTAGGACATAGATTTTATATGGATTTGGAATTGTAAATATGATTTTGAAAACAATTTGTAAACTTTCAAGTTTTATTTTCAATTATTATGTTGGTTATTGATAAATGAATATGAAGGTTTTATGTGAACCCTTTTACCAACGTTAAAAATTTTATTCTTTAGTTTATTTATATGATTAATATTTATATATGTGTTGGGGTAGTAAGGGTGTCACACTAACACTCAACCATACAAATCAACTTTTAAGGTAAGTGTTGCCCAACTTATATACTCTTTAATTATTTTATTTTCAATCGATATGAGACTTGAAAGTTTTTTTAAAATATTAAACTTATAAATTTAAATATATATTTTTTATTTTTCCTACAGATTAAAATTGGTAGGAAAATCCGCAGGAAAAGTTACCAGTAAAATTTTTCTATCATTTAGTAAACATTACTTGCGAATTTAATTTTGCAAGAAAATTTGCAAGAAATAAAATAAAATTCTTACAATATTTTTTGCAAATTTTTACCATGGATATTTTTTTTTATAATCATTAAAATTATAGCAAAATTTGCAAAAAAAAATTTGTAGATTATTTTTCATAAAAAAAAACTGTAAGAAATATTTGTAAATTGTTTTTCGCAAATAAATTTGTAAATTTTTGTTGTAAAATTATTATTGCAAGAAAATTCGCAAAAAAATTCTACAAATATTTTTTTTAAGAAAATTCAAAGAAAAACGACACTTTTCTAGTAGTGATCATTTCTCGATAATAAAAAAGACTAATTATAATATTAATTTTGTCAAATCACTATCTTTATGTATTTATTAACTTTTTTTTGATCTGGGTTAAATAACATAGAATAACACTTACTATGAAATAAAAGAAATATATTTTTTAGGTATTGCTGTTATTGGTATAAAATATCCATTAATTTTTCTTTAATCTTTGTTAAAAAACTTAGTTGACCACCTTTAATAGAATCTCCATTTCCAATCACGTTTTTTTTTCATACAAAGGACTTGAACTCGAAAACTTGCTTAAAGGAATCAAGTGCAATCATATTTTAATTTACAATATTAATCTAATCAAACATTAATTTCAAATATTAATTTAAATTTTTTAATTTAGTCAAATATTAACCCAAATATATATTAACATAATATTAATTTCTATCTTTGGTTAACTATTTGTTTAAATAAAGTATTTAAATTTAGTCAAATATTATTAAAATCATTCAATCTAGAATTAATGGCTTTCTTGATTCTTTGATTTGTCTCGTTTTCGTTTTATTTTGATAAAAACATTTACTTATTTTATTTATGACTAACTTTTATAGGAAAATTTAAATACTTTCTTTTGGCGAGATTTTTCTTCCCTTACGTTAACTTTGACGAATCTAGAATATTTAAATTTGAGATGTCAGGGTCTAAGTTTAGACTAACAACTTATAAAATCCTTGAATTGCATCCAAACATTAAATTATATTTACTATAACTTGATTTAAAATTTCTTTGGTTTTAAATTGAAATAACTTTTTTCTAAAAACAATAAATGTGCTTATGCCCCACAATTAAAAATATTTAATTATTTTGTTGAACTTCGACCACTGGTGGATGCTATAAAAGCTCTCCTATGGTGTAAATTATTAACCAAACACAATTGGTAAAATTAAAAAAATCACGTTGTAGCTACTCCAATGTCTTCAACTGGTGGGAAACAAGAAAATGAAGAAGACAAGCTACTTGTCTCTCTTCGCAAAGAGAGAGGTTGGGCATTTTCCCATGTTTATCTATTTCAAGAATTTTGGTGGCCATCGTCATTTATTCAAGAAATAAATATATTTCAAAACAACTTTCAAGCAAAAGATAGTGATGTTGTTGTTGCCAGCTTTCCAAAATCAGGCACTACATGGTTGAAAGGCCTTACTTTTGCCATTGTCAACCACCAAAGCTTTCCCTCCATAGAGAAACATCCATTACTTACTTCTAATCCTCATGAACTTGTGCCTCCACTTTATACATTTCGTGGTAATAATACTAATATCCACGACCAATTCCTCCAACTATCCAACATGGCCGAGCCAAGACTTTTTGGTACTCACACTCCATTTCACTCACTACCCAACTCACTCAAAGAGTTCAATTGTAAGATAGTTTATATTTGTCGGAACCCATTTGATGTTTTTGTTTCGGCATGGAGTTTCTTTAAAAAAATCAAGGGAGGGCCTTTACCGACACCATCACTAGAAGAAGCTTTTGAAATGTATTGCAATGGGATAATTGAATTTGGTCCATGGTGGAGTCATATGTTAGGCTACTGGAAAGAGAGCATAGCAAGACCAAACAAGGTTCTATTCTTAAAGTATGAGGATCTTAAAGAGGATGCCAATTTTCATGTGAAAAAAGTTGCTGAGTTTTTGGGTTATCCTTTCACTCACGAGGAAGAAAGTAATGGCGTAATTGAAAGCATAGTCAAGCTATGCAGCTTTGAGGAGATGAAGGATTTGGATGTGAACAAATCTGGAATAATAAATTTTCAAGTCAAAAGCTTTGAGAATAATCTCTTTTTTCGAAAGGCAGAAATAGGAGATTGGGTAAATTATTTTTCCCAACCTATGATAGAAAAATTATCCAAAATCATTGAAGAAAAGTTAAGTGGGTCAGGTTTATCATTTAAAATGAAATAGAGCTGGTAACATAAGTTGTATAAGTGGCCATACAAGAGCCAAGCATGTAGCTTATTGTGTGGCATACATGTTTTTGTGATTTTTACTGTTCCTAAATAAAGAGGTAGCATAAGTTGTAATGACATGTGACTATTTTCGGAGTTATCAATCAAAATAATTGTGTGAAAAATTTGTGTTACATGTGGAACATCCTATTTTTTTTTCATAAACAAATAATGAATGAATCAAAATAAATTAAAATTTATAAGAGAACTATTTTATTAATTAAAATTAAAAGGGAGAACTCATTAAAATAGTTGTACTATATTATATTGGCCCAATCCAGACACTAATTCAAAACAAAAAGATAGAGAAGGGTTAGGTTATTACGTGCTTATTCTAAAAATCTAGAGCACTCATGGTAAGAGAATTAGAGAAGATTGTTAGGGGAGGTACATATTAGCAATAAGAGTTACCAGAGGAGCGTCATTCAACGAGAATCGTTACTCTAGGTAGTGGAAGTGGGATATTCAAGTCCTTAGGCATATATGAAGGATAGGGGTAGAGGAGCGAACCCTAAGCTTCATAGGTTGTATGTAAAGTGGTATTATGTTTATAAATGCAAGTATGATTATTTGAATACTCTGTTTATGTAACTAGTATGATGTTCTATTTACTCTATTTGAATGTTGAATGTGTGCCTTTGGGAATTAGGGTGGTATATGTATGAATTGAGGAAATTGAGTGGGATTGAATAGATTGACATGAATTGATGTTAACAAGATGTTTATTGAGTGTGATTTGATTAATTGACCGATTAGATTGTATGTATCAGTAGTTATTATATTGATATGAATTTTGAAGGGGACAAGGTGCGCAAATCGCAAATCTACGATGTGTAGTTTCTTTCACCATGTCATAATAGTCGCATGGTGCACAACTGCCATAGTGGCCCCCAAACCTCTTGGCATTAGGTGTAAGTTGTTGCACCCAATTCCATTTGATGTTCATATAACAAAGGAAGTGACATTGGGTGTGGCCTAGACCACATCAAGCAAAATGGAGATAAAGAGTTCCTCCTAGACCTCTCCACATTGGATGTGGGTGATCCCACGTCATGCACGAGTTTGGTAGAGAGGCTCTTTACCTCTACACCCTTAGCGTGAATGCATTCTCTCCAAGCACCATGCCTTTTTTGGTGGGATGCTTTGTTTTGAGAATTAAAATGATAATTGAGGAACATTGAGGAGACTTTGATACAATATACAAAGAAAAGGAATTAATAAGTATTAATGTGTGTGTTTATGAAATTTCCTATGTTATACCTATAGTGATGATATAATATTGATAATATATGTGATGGATGCATAATATGATGATGTGTGGGAAATTATAATGATGCATGAGGGGATGAATCACTATGAATGTTGATGATGAGATATGATGAATAAGTTCAATGTTATAGATTGACACTCGAGGAGTTAATATGCATATTGTGTTGTTGTATTGAGTGTACACTACAAGAAAATTCGCTATTATAGACGTCCAGAATCCGTGGAAAATGCCAAAAATCCGTGGGTAATAGTGCATTTCCGACAGATTACCGACGGACACTAATCCGTCGGTAAATTGTTCGTCTGAAATATTTACCGACGGATTTTTATCCGTGGGTAACTTCCCGACGGATTTTCCCGCGAATTTATTCGTGGGTAATTACCCACGAATATATCCGTGGGAAACTTCCCACGGATTTAGTTAAAATACCCAAGGATTCCATAGTTAGCCAGATCCTCATAGATAGGTATACCTCATTCCTGCATTTTGTTAATGTCGAAGCGATGCTCTAAGTGCATAACTGGCTTTTCCTTTGTAGAGAAGGTATGAGCGCAATTAGTGGCTTCGCGCATTTCTACGGGAATATCCATCTTGGCGATGTTTTCAGTTTGTGCGACCATTTTAGTGGAAGAGAAAGGTTTTTGAGATGAGAGATTAGGGTTTAGAGTTCTTGTGACAAAGATGAAGAGTTTTAAGTTTCAAAGATATGAGGCGTGGGAAGTACATTTTTCAAATACAAGGGAAGATATAAGGTTTTGAAACAGAAAGATATTCTCTGTTTTTATTCCCTTATGATTCGCATAACATGGTGCCCTTTATCTTTCCTCGTGTAAAATGTCATATGACACACATTAATATTAGGAAGGGAATTTGCCTTTTCAAGAAGAGAGGCGGGTGGCGACAAGGATTTCCTTCAGCGTCCAGTATGATTGAGACTTCTTCAAGCCAAGAGTATACTGGTTTGTAGTACCCCAGACCATGTGTGGTGGGCTTCTACAAGACATAGTGTCGAGGCCAGTTAATGGGATAGCGTCCACAAAGCACATTAATCGTCCTGTCAATAATGTAAGAGTTTGGCTTTGATCGCAAACCAATATTATTTCTTTTCATAATGTCCTTATTAGTGGTGAGATGGTCAGTTTTGAGCAATTCTGCTTTTCCATCTGGGTTAGTTGTTCCAGGGAAGATGATGGAGTATACGTATGTCCCTGGATCCATTCCTTCTAGTATTAGCGAGGTTGTTTGTTCCTTGAGGGAAAATGATGGAAAGGAAGGAAGCCTTGGAGGCATGATCATGAGATCGTTCTTGATAGCAATCTTCCTTTTTCTCATAACCAAGGTATTTACAAAGGCAACCTATAAGGATATATTAGGTAGGATTCATAACCGTTTGGTTTATCAATCAAATTTTTAATCAAACACAGTTTATAGGAGTTCAATAGGAAGGAAAGATAGAGAAATGTCACTTATGAAAGAGGAATGTATATTGACGAGAGGAAAGGGAGCATTTGCATGCATTTTCATCTGAGTTAAAGTAGTGAGAACTTCAGACGCAGGTTTAGCCACCATTTTTTATGCAAGCTTTATGATCTTTTTCTTTGTGAATTGAGGTGGTGAAGGAGGAGGTAACAAGGCTTTTCTTTTTACAACCTTTCCGATGGGTTGGTTGTCCTCAGCATCAGATGTGGATTCTTCGTCTAATTGAAGAACCATTTTCTGTCTAGTTGTTGGTGCTGCAGCAGCCAGAGGTTCAACCTTCATGGGAGATGTAGATGATTAACGCTTCCATGTTGAACGCATCGCACGCTGCCCTTCTCCAATTTCCTTCTTTATTTCTATTGCTTCGGTGAGATCAGGAATTGTGTAGTTTACAAGCATTTTCCCCAGATTAGCCTTTCTGAAGACGATAGGCTGTAGTCATTTGTTTGACCCCATATCCATGATCTTCTGCTTTTCTTCCTGGTTTTCAAGCAAGTGGAACGTGTGATAGACGTTTTGATCCCAGAGGATTTTGTTCAGAAGCATGGTATGAACTATGAAATTCTTGTGGTCTTTCAAACACCCTTTCCAATGCTGAAATTGTGTTTCAGGCAGGTCAAAGGAAGTTCCTGTCATCATATGGAATAAACAGAATTTGTACATATTTGATATGTTGTCTTTGCCACCTATCTTGTGGAGGATTGATTTGTTCAGAATTTGTTGATAAATCTTGGCCTTGTCATCAAGCTTTTTGTAAACTATTGTCCCTTTTTCACCCTTTTTGTGAAGAGTCTTGGTGACTTTTGTCAGCCCACCAGCATCGAAAATCCATTCTTCCCAGTAGGTCTTTCCAGCATTCTCGCATTCAATGGCTTGAGCAATGGTGGAGGGACAGACCTTGACCTCTACTCCGAGCACCTTTCCTTCAAAGGATCCTTGATGGATCCTTAGGGATTCGTAAAACATCTTTATCAGACTAGGGTAGACTACTTCCTTAATGTTAAAATACCCAAGGATTCCATAGTTAGCCAGATCCTCATAGATAGGTATACCTCATTCCTGCATTTTGTTAATGTCGAAGCGATGCTCTAAGTGCATAACTGGCTTTTCCTTTGTAGAGAAGGTATGAGCGCAATTAGTGGCTTCGCGCATTTCTACGGGAATATCCATCTTGGCGATGTTTTCAGTTTGTGCGACCATTTTAGTGGAAGAGAAAGGTTTTTGAGATGAGAGATTAGGGTTTAGAGTTCTTGTGACAAAGATGAAGAGTTTTAAGTTTCAAAGATATGAGGCGTGGGAAGTACATTTTTCAAATACAAGGGAAGATATAAGGTTTTGAAACAGAAAGATATTCTCTGTTTTTATTCCCTTATGATTCGCATAACATGGTGCCCTTTATCTTTCCTCGTGTAAAATGTCATATGACACACATTAATATTAGGAAGGGAATTTGCCTTTTCAAGAAGAGATCCCAAACGACGGTTTTGTTGTTTATTTACTTAATCGTTTTATTCTTTTAAAAGTGGGGAATGTTTGTCTCCGACTCTTCTGAGTTTATTAATGAGGATTGTTTAATGAGAATATTACAGGTAGAATTTTTAGACGTAGAGCAAGAAGTTTACACTTTTCACTGGATGAAGAGTTTCAAACGTTATAATCTCTTACAGCATTCTAAGGAATATATAGACGTAGTGGCTTACTGTGTTTACTTTCCTACTTTCTTTCTGACTGTACAGAGTGGTACATGTATGGGTATTTAATAATTTCAGACGGATTTAAATCCATGGGAAATTCCGTCGAAAATTTCAAACGGATTTAAATTTGTGGGAAATTTCGTCAGAAATTTCAGACGGATTTCAATCCATCGGAAATTCCGTCAGAAATTTCAGACGGATTTAAATCTGTCGGAAATTCCATCAGTTAAAATTCTGTCGGAAATTTTCGAAGGATCTAAATCCGTGGGAAATTTCTGACGGATTTTTATCCGTGAGAAATTATCCGTCGGAAATTTAACTTTTTCTTGTAGTGGTATTGAGTCAATGCATTCATACTTTGTTTCGTAGGATAGTGTAAGTCTATGCATATAGGTGGGATATTATAGGTCATCTACTTATGTTCTAGGGGGTGTTATGGCAGGGAAAAATCTAACAGGAATCGGAGACTACCTTAGCCAATTATAACACTCTGATAAAACCCTAATAAACATCCCCTAGTTGAGGTGGTTTAGGGAGGATCACTATTAATGAGTGGTGTCATAACCGGGATCACGACGGGATAACGCTAACATTTTTATATTCAATGGAGCCGCCACCAATATTTTATTTCAAGGGAAAAACATTGGA